TGCTTTAGTGACCTTCAGATCCGTGGTGTCTCAGTGTTCACACAGTGTTACAGCGTCGTACAAAAACCTCAGTCAGTGAGAGTGCACAGAGAAGCACTGCTGCAGCTGGGAGCGACTGCAGGTGCTGAGGGGGAGGAAGTGATACAACACAATCACACACACTGTGGACAAGAGAAAACACATCATACTAAGAGGCCATGATAATGCAAATAAATATGCTCTCACTTGTATTAATCACTCTTTCTCCACTCTTAAGTAGATAGAATGATATTCTAACTTCAGGCTAGTAAATAAACTTTGACAGTTGGCAGTTCAGATATTAGACCAATGTTAGTTTCTTTCAATTCAAAATGATGCCGGCATGCTATGCTGAAACGAACACCATCTCCATTATCAACATTATATAAAAAATTTAACATTAGCTAGCTAGCTAACATAGGCAAATGCTGGTGTGGTTTCAGTAGCTTGCCAGGTTTCTTAGCTAACTAGCTCATGTTAATTTATACTTGTTTCTAGCTACTTAGTTAGCTATCTAGCAAAGATGCCCCTTACACATATCCTGAGTGTCACCTATAGGCTGTAGCAGATATATTTAAGACAATACGTGATTGCTATGGAGCTCATAAGTGATATCTTACGTTTAATGCAGAGCTTTAAATCTTCATATCGGTCTGTAGCCCACCCATGACTTTTGTTTTGAGTCATGCAGGATTCCAGTCATGATGCACACCTCCATCTATCTAACTATGGTCAAATCTAAAATAAATAAAAGCCTATATCTTCACATTGTCATTTGTTCCCATATGATTTGAGAACAGCCTACCCATAGGCTACTTCTGACATTATCTTCCGACAGTCCAATTTTAAGTCAATGTTTGATTTTTTTATACCATGTGTTAAATATATGAGCTTTCATTTTGCTATTCTATCTAACATGTGAAGCATCGTAGGCTTTACTGCACTATTATGAAAAGATGTAGCCAGTCCAGAATAATTAAATTTATAATAATTTATACAAACACTACTTTTAATAGTATAAATAGTATAAATATTTTTTGGATTAACTGACACCTGAAGAAAATTTTGTATTCAAACTTCAGCACTCTCAGTGCCATGACCAGTTCTGAAACCAGATTAAAATGGCATGAGGAGACGAGGACTATGACACACTTTAGATCTGTAATGATGGCTCATTGTTAGTTTTCAGACAGAGAGAGAGAGAGAGAGAGAAGTGTACTGAGATTTGCATTAACAGCACTGAATAGTTTCATTTCTCCCAGAATAGAGCAGAAACTTCACCAGATGTTCAACTTCCTTCAGTCAAACTCACTGAAGCACAACACAGCACTGAATCTACAGCTAATCACACTCTCTCATCACACTGATCATCACTATTAACTCTAATAAAAGAACAGACAACGTCCAAAATTCAGCTTTATTTCATCAAAAACTACAGGAAAATCAACAGGACAGTGAACAGAGTAAAGACAGAAATGGCAGCATTGTGTAGAATTAAAACTCTATTGCAGATGGATCATAAGCAGCTCTATGTTAAACTCTATCTTGGAGCCACTAGCCTTCACACTGACTCTTTCTGAACATAACAGGATGATTGACGCCGGCATGGGAGACCGTACAGACAAACTCCTCCCCCTTTTCCCAGAGGTCTTTGCTGAGGGTCAGGGTGCTGCTGCGACTGTAACGGTCCTTCTTCAGTTCTTCTGCGCTGGTCAGAACCCCGTCCTTCACCTCTGAGCCGTCCACTGTCCAGCTCACCAGTGCCCCCTGTGGAGAGTAGCCAGACAGCAGGCAGAGCAGCGAGGTCGATCCCTCACACAGCTGCAGAGGAGACGGAGGGAGCAGAGACACGGAGGGAGCTGTGGGACCCGCTGGAAACAGCAAACACACACATTTAGAAGTATTGTGTAAATTCTGCGAACTCCAACAGAGCCAAAACTGGAAACTCCATAGCAGCAGTGTTCCAGCACTAGGATAGCATTTCTTAATTACTCTTTAAATCAATTACTCTCAATGAACAATACTGATCATGATTGGACTTCAAATGACAGAAACAACAGAAACATCCTGAGCTGTCTCTCACCCTTAACAGTGGAAAAATGGAAATAGAAAAACATAACATACTAAATTAATTTTAAAAAAAGTGAATCCCAAATTGTAATTTATCTGGGAAAATAAAATCTATTATAAAAATATTTATGAAGTTATTGCTCTTTCTTTCAGCACAGTTGACTGCAGCAAATACAAATGTAGCTGCTTTCAGAAATAACTACTGTTAAAAAACAAACAGCCAACAGCTTTCGTCTGGATTTTCCACTTATACAATACTTCATGTATGAAACATTGAGCTGGTTTAGTGACACCGTCAAAAGTGGTTTTAAAATGACTGAATCTTTACTATAAATTAATTGTATATTTATTGAATGTTCATAGTATGGATTTTTATTGTACTGAAATGTATTACTTATTAGAGCTTCATATGATAAAAACTATTTTGTAGTTTTAATATTAAGTTATTTTGTCGTAAAAGAAGAAAACACGCTTACTTTTCACGATAAGTTTGGTACCTCCACCAAAAGTCCACCACAGTGATACATACTAATGAAACCGTCATACAAAAACCTCCTTCACACTGCACTGCACACAAACACACACACACACACTTTGCATTGGCAGCCCATGCTTCAGTGCTCTGCGAGGGTTTATAGCCCTGTGACTTTAACACTTCATGACTGAGAGCTGCTGCTCAGCAACTTCACCCACAGCAACCATGACTTTGATC